GAACCCCGGTCCGTGTAATCCAATATCCCGCGGCTACTAAATTCACTAGGTTTATATTTTATACATTTCCCTTGTTCATTTTAAAGCTATAAACAAGTCTTGTTTTATCTTGAACACAATAACCATGTCTTCTACGCATGTTTTATTTTAAACTTTTCAATGTATTCTAGTCAGAATTTATTTTAATTGAATTTTAATTTCACTGTTTTAGAAGTAGGTTTAGAAACTTATGATATTTCTGTGATTTAGATTTTTTTGGGTTTAAACACTGTAAAAATATGAAATAAAAATACACCCGTAACCCAGGTCCCTGACAAAAAAATGAGTTATGGGAACGATAGGGCGGCAAAAAGCCGTTTAAAAAACCCAAGAAATTAGATTTTTCAGATTGAATATTTTTAGTGCAGTTATTTGATTTGCGTACTTTTTTTTAAATACAAAGCACGTACTGTATACAAGTAAATAGTATTTTCTGATTATGTTTGAGAAAATAGGTTAGGTTTTTGTTTGTTAACGATACCCATGTCATCTTAACGTCACGCACAATTTCAGAGCTTTTGCTAATTCTCTCGTACCTTTTCAAGAGCTATCTTGTCAATTCGTATCTCAAGAGTGCGCAGACATTGTTTTGTCTCGCTTTGATTCCTATGAGCTTATATGGAGGTACACTACTCGATTTTTAGTTGTGCAACTAAACAGTTGAATTGGCTGAGAAACAATCGACAATCGCACACCAGTTGGACGTTTACGCTCTAAAAGTAAAAGATACGATATATAATCTTCAAAATAAAATAAAAAAATTCTACATTTTATATTTTTACGGCAAGTAGCATTCTAATATGATAAGAATTTATGAAATCGGTCTAGTAGTTTCTGGCTTTAATCGTTACAAACATACATATGAGTTACCATATAGTTGTCGCCCCCAATTTGTCCGCGCGGAATAAAAAAACTTAGTAGCGTATGTGTTTATCCAGACTATGTTTTACATCTAAGCGTGAATTTCAGCAAGATCCTTGAGCTCTGGAGATTTAGTAACAAATATCCATCCATCCAAACTTCAGTATTTGTAAATTAGTGTAATATTTGGGTAATGGAAGTGTGTTTGATATGGGACTGATTTATTAATTAAAATATAGCGTTTTTTACTCGGTGATGACTGGTTTCAATGGTGAAGTAGTTTTTAAATTCTTTGCATTATTCCAAAACAGTAGTAGAGCCCGCTTTAACATCACGAATTGGTCGGCTCGCCCGATTAATACCACGACCACAGAAAACAGGCGTGTAGCGAAAGCAATTCCGCGTTTCGACTGATGAGTGTGGTGCCGGGGGCCTAATTTTAGTCCCTTTCCCTTTCTACCTTTTTCTTAAAAAGAAAGAATGGGAATGAAAAGTGGATTTGAAGGTGGAGACGCATAGGAAGGGGAAATGTCCTCTTTATGTGCGTCTCCTCCTCCATCAATTAAGGGTAGGCAACGCATCTGCAATTGTGGATATTTATGGGCAGCGGTCGCTTTCCATTTCGGTGGATTCAAGTGGCCGCTTGCTCGTTTGCCACCTTATGTTATAAAAAAAACACACGAAAATTCAAATAATGCTTCTTTTATTAGAATAGAAGTGTAGATAAGCGGACGTTGTAGTAGAACTACAAATATTACAGCCACACACATCAATTAGTGAGATAGTAAGAAGTGTATAATACAGTAGATATCTTACGCATAAACATCGACAGAGAATTCATATCCATGACCACCTTTGCTTTCCAATTTTATTGTGACACTGTTTTTATTTAATCCGCCACTTCTGATATGACTCTCGCCGTTGCCTTTAAGATCTTTTATAACCACCCCTTTAATGAGTCCATTGTTTGGTGCCCGTACTTTTATTTCTTCACTCCTTCTTATTATAGGCAAAGCCGGTTTGCTGTGAATCTTATGGTATATGTTTTGGGCGAACGCTGTAGTACCGATTGTTAAATCTCCGTTCCCTACCACTAGTGTTGCCAGGTAGACAACGCAAATGGTGAGCAGAATTCCCTTTGACACCATTTTGTTGTTTGTTACTTCGTATTGTGTTTCGACTTTTATATACAATTAATTGGTTTGTAGATAAATGTATTAGGTTATTGTTTTTAAATTCATTTTTAATTTGATATTAATTGTTCTGCGACAGCAAATTGGTAACGTTTTTAAAATACGTTGTCACTGAACTATAAATAAAATCAATTAAATGTTAACTATAATAAATTAATATTTATAGATTTTAATCTCAACTTGACAATATGAAAAACCATAAAAAATCATAAATACAAACTATTGTGCCTACCTTTCAAGACTTAATACTAGAGGTCATGTTTAAGTGGTACCTTTTGCTATATTAAAAACTGTACAGTGGATTTTTATTATTGGAATTATTCTCTGCGTTCTCTATGTTTTTAGTAAGATCTTACATATATTTTTTAAAAACATTTGTAATTGTAATTACAGGTGTATTTTTTGCCTCCAGCGTGAGAATTAAAAAATGTAAAAGCTTAAAACATCGAATGTTTCGAAATATATTTCAATAAAATATTTTAATACTGATATTTCGAAGCATATAACCTTTTGGGAATAACAGTAGTAATATTCATTTATCGATAAGCATAAAATGGGAATTATAAAACTACGGAAAACTTTGTAAAATCGTTTTGTACATTTGTAACATATCACAAATGGGTTTTTAATTATTTTTACGCTTTGACTAAGTAATTAATTTCACACGTCAATATAATGATAGACTTGATATGTCGGAGGATATTAAATAATATGAGAAAAAGTAATCATTTTTATTTTTATTACGAAATAGAAATTAAAAGTTGTTTATTTGTAAAAGAAAATCTAATTTTCAAATCTGTCTATTCATATAATAAAATTGGAGTATCTGTTTGTAACATCAAAGGAAAAATTCCACATTTCGGGAAGATAATGTATTTACGTTTCGATAAGGAAAATCGTGTTTAATTGTAAAAAAAATTGTCTGTCTGTCTGTCCGCAAGCCGCGTTTATTCCGGGTAATCTCCGAAACCGCTGGGCCGATTTTGACCCGACTTTCACTGAAGGGTAGCTGACATAGACGGGCATACTATAGGCTACTTTTTTTTTTAAATTCCGCGCTGTTAAAATGACGACAGGACCGCTATCTCCGAAATAGATGGACCGATTTGGACGGGACTTTGACTGGAAAGTAGCTGGTAAAAAGTAGATGCACGGGGCAATATTATAGACGACCCTTTTTTTAATTCCAAGCTAACGAAGTTTGCGACAGCTCGTACTACGTACTACGTATAAAGACGAAATGTTTGATCGATAGATCGCCTAAAAAGTCATACCAAAGATGTATATCCCTCTTATACTGTAAAAAACAGAGGCAATATTTTATATTGGTATTTAGACAGTGGATACCTACGGTATACTTGACATTAATGTAACATTGAAAGTTCAATAGAGTTGTAGGGCAGACATATCGATTACCTCTTCACAACGTCTGAGTCTTTTAATCGATAGTTAAAATTTGTTCAAAGTTATAGTATCGTGCGTCGATTTACTCTAACTATACTAATATTATAAAGAGAATAAATTTGGATTTTCGGATTTTTATACTTATTGAATGAACTTAAAAGTTACTGGGCCGATTTCAAATTTAGCACCATTAAAAAGCTACGTTATCACTAAGTAACATAAGCTATGTTATAACTATTTTTAATTTTACGTGGACGATGTCGCAAGCAACAGCTATTTGTATAAAAAACGTTCAAAAAATGCAAAACACTAGCAACAATTTCAATTTTTAACCTAACCCAAAAACAGAAAAAGTCTAAAATCGTTTAACTTTTTCAACATAACCACAAAGTACTAAAACTAAGTCACGACTATAGATAACATAAGCACTTAAATGTTTTAAACGAAGTTTCATGAACTTCCGCACCCGCACTGACCACATACGATACAATACGTTTCGTCATGTGTGTAAAATTTTATTCATCTTTTACTCTATGTACATAAACGCAAACATCAAGAATTTCGTCAAATAAAAACAGAATTATCAGAAACTAGCTGTACCCGTGCGACATCATTCGCATAAAATTATGAAAAAATTATTTTGTTGTTTACATCTGTCAAATTATTTATCGCAAATGTCAAAGTGAGATGACATTATGATAAAGCATGGCAACCTTGCTTCCTTGATGTTGGCAGCAACTTATGGTCTCTTTTCCACATTAGGGTTTTTATCCAAAATATTTACCCCCTAAGTTTATCAGCGTGAAAATATAAAGCCTAAAGCGTAACGTAAGTTTAGGGCTTTTTATTAAAAAAATAATGATTCAAAAATATGCTGTTATTGCTGACATCTTAGGCAACAAAGAAGTGTGTGTTTACGCTTTATTATAATAGTATAGAAGTATAGATCTACACCTCAACCTCATAAAAACCGTATAAACTAACAAAAAGTAACCTTTATACAAATCAAGTTTATTCTACCATAATTTGCATTCTAGCCAAGATCAATAAGATATGTTGTGGGCGTACACACAATATGTAAAGTAAATGGGACGGGCGTTAATGTGAGAACCGAGACTGTGCTATAAATCATACTGGTTTCACACGAGGGTAATAGATTGTGGCAGGGCAGTCAACAGTGCAGTACTACTATAGGTAAAACAACTAAGTTTCGGCGTTATGCGTCAATAGCTGTAGGTTTCTGTCGCACTGTTTTGTCCTAGTATGAAAATTTACACTGTCTTTAGCTGCCACGTTGGCATACACTTGCCAAGTTCGAAGAAACGTGAGTACAGTAAGTTTTAAATAAAATGGTGTAGGTGTACTAACTGTAAAAAACACGTAAAAATACAGCAAGAGAAGTTTTTTTTTATTTTATTTTATCTTTTAAATTTCGACTAGCGGTGGGAAATAATAAAACTAGATTCATTATTATTAAATCATTAATACAAATTCTACTACATTTATGAAAGTAAATAAATGTAAGAATTGTTACCCTTCAAGCGACTAAAGTAAGAATATAATCCATCTCTGAAATAAACTTTCCCAACTAAGTATACAATTTAGGCACGTTTTCCCAAACTGTGTTCTCTAATCTTCGCCTACGTGTCACTTCGTAACTTACCGAATTCTCTCTTAACACTCATCTCAAACTTTACACGATAATATTCCGATGTTTTCCACTTTATTTCCACACTTTTTCCATTGTATTTCTCGTTTATTTTTTCCATGATATTTCCAGTGTACGCACCGGTATTTTACGAGGCCCGTCCTAAATTGCGAGCCTTTGTTCAGTGAAAGAGAATGTCTGCTGTAATCTCGCAGTACCTCGCCTGTGTTCTTCAATCTCGAGACGATATAATAGACAATTTTAATTTTGATGAAATTCTCCAGATAGTTGTGTTTCATTTGTTAAATATTACATTCAAAGTGTTATTTTATCTGTATGTATGTTATAGGACAAAATACAGAATAAATTAAATGATTTCCCACGTATTTTCTACACTTATAATTTTTCAATGTTATTTCAATTTTACCATATTATTTCAAAACTGTTTTAATCACATTAAAAGTCTATGTTAATAATTTAACAAATAATTAAGTTTAAATATGAGTTTTTCCCAAGTTTTAAAATACAATCAAAAACTTACGTCTATTTCAATTCTGTTACCATAGAGCTAGTAAACTATCAGACACGTATTCCATTTAATAAACCTTCCCGAGAGTAAACACGCGTGACATTATCCCTCGGGAACATGACAGATGGTCGCGTGATGTATAGCCCGGGGTTCACCCGTAGACCTGTCTACGTCTTTGTAGGTTATTGTTAGAAGAATGTTTGGAATTTAATAGCATTATGTGTATTAGTGTTTTGTTACATGTAATATTATCTTTCTTACTAATATTATAAATGTGAAAGTTTAGATGAATGGAAGAATGTTTGTTAAAATTTGTAGCCTAAACTGCGGAATGGATCTCAATGAAATTTGGCATAGATGTAGAAGATAGTCTGGAAGAACACATAAGCTATTCACTTTTGTTTATTTCAATATCACGCGGACGGAGTCGCGGGCGAAAGCTAGTTTAATATAATTATGTATTACTTTATTTCCTTGAATAAAGTTATTAAAAAAATCTACAGCCGTTCGAAATGTTTACTTTTAAAAGAAATTCAAATCGAACCTGCCAATAAATTCGAATAAAGAAACGTACATTGGACATAAAAGTCGATTCTTTTCTATTTCAAAATCGAAAAATTGTTTGTAAAATGGCAACATAGTACAGATGTTACGTAGCGCAGTAAGTCATAAATCTGCCACCGGGCGCTGCTGTAGCACGAACACATTTCGTTATCGCTGCAACTAACTTCGTGTTTGCGCACCGAACGATGAAATCTTTAACTAAAATCTTGTTAAATCGAATACCTTTTTGGTAATGAATCCTTTTAGTATATTCGTAAAGTTACGTTGGATTGGATTTTCAAAATTTCCACGGTTATTTAAACATTTAAGTCTACGTTTTGTATCTGTGTATTTTACTAATTTATCATAAAATCTTTATTTTTTTACCTACAGAGTTTAACTTGTTACTATATTCGCCGTCACCGATAATTAAAAAAATATGCAAGCATTGATTTTTATCTCTGCTTACTTCTATAGTTGGGTGCGTAAAAATTTCATCAATGATCAGTCAAATAAATCATGATCCATATAAGTGAAATTTTCATTCCAAGTATAGATGAGGGTAGATACGAAAGTTGTCAAACAAGTTAACCGGGCTGCACTACGAGGCTCGCTCGCGTCAAAACTGACAACACCAGTAATTGAATAATTGCTCGTATCCCTTATCGAACATACGCCAGCTTTCAATCTATTTTAGCATAGGAAACTGCTAACAGTTTAGAAGTTTTACTGTGAGATTTTTGTTATAATGCGAATAGTAGTTTGGTAGGTAGCATTATTAAACGTTATAAAAAGAAAATAAATATAGCATTAAAATATTTCAAACATGAT